ACAATAACTTCATTCATTGAACTGATGGTGGAGTGGATTTGCATTTTATGAATTAATTTTAGTTATTAATCATTCATTCATTAGCTTCAAGAATAGCTAATATTATATTTTTCTATCGTCACATTCAATGACCCAAATATTACAGTAAACATACTGAATATGATATGATATGAAACTTTAATAAATTCTATGACCGGTATATATGAACAAAAAAAACTCTTGAGATTATGGTGTGAAAGGGCCTAACATTGATATATACCTCGAGTGAAATAGATGTGAGAAAGGGAGTTGGGGGGAGACCTACCTATTTTGGCGAGACCTACAATGATGATCCACAATGAGATGATGTATGGAGTGGAGACATGGTCAAAGTCAAACTTTGCCACCTGATACCTCTTGACGGTGTTGTTCTGGGAGTGGATGTGATGGATGTGTTGATGTGATGGACCGATGCGATGAAGTGCTGTTGTGATCCTCTCGTCATTATTAGTGGTGAGCTGTGGGGTAGTACTGGTTTGGTCCTCGAGAGCACAGTTGACACTCGTTAGGCACAAGAATAGCAATAGGAGAGTGGCAACTACCAGTTTAGACAGTTTGCATGTATGGCATGTATGCAACACTTGCATCATTGCATTCATTGCAGTCAATGTATTCACTGAAACAGTGAATGGATCTCAAGACTCAACACTAATGACATACATTTGACTGAAAGCCTGCACCGACTTTGCAATGGTTTGAAGCGAACGCAGACTAAAGCTATTCTGAAACTCATATCAAGTCTGCAATTCTGTGTGCAGTTCACAGCACTGGTAGCTGTGCCGGCGCACAGACACTACACAACCAGACTATACAGCTCTAGCGATTGGATATTGTTTTGATCACCAATAATGTGATTCTCTGGAAGTACCTCTAAATGTAATTTTAGATGATATCAACCGCAGGAATATTTAATTTACGAGTTCTTATGACTAATAAAATCTCAAACACTTTGCCAATAGATATGAAAATATAATTTAAGTACTGTTTTGTAGAAAATATTCGACTCTTTTCAGTGAACTTACACTCCATATAATGATTGGACTTTCTCTACCTTATTGTGAGAAAGTTTTTTGAATGAACTCAATGTTTGACTGCCTTTTCATAACGACTTTATGTAATAATTGGTTTGAGAAATGTTGACTCAATTTTCTATCATTACAAATGTATGCACTTTTTTCCTAATATTTGTCAAAATTTTTTATTCAAATGAATAAATAATTATTGATTCAAAAAATATTTGGTTAGACTTTCCCCAATTATTGTGAATTAAAAAAGTACAATATATTTATTAAAATTATTTTGACATTTAAAAAGTTGGTAACTTTATAAGAGTTTTATGTAAAAAATCGATTTAATAATACAGTAATACGTCTATTAAATAAACGTATGTTTCTTTTATAGACTTTAAATTATAAATAATAAGTAATTGCTAATTGTTGTACAGTATTATAGTTTGAATAGTATTATAAATTAAACATTATGGATGAGTACCTCCCATTGATTTTTATAATACGATACAATAAAGTTTGTTTTGAATGAGCCATGTATTGAGAATTTAAAGTTATTTTAAGATCAAGAATTTGAACCCAAAAAACCAAACAATTCTGGTTTAAAAAACTAAAAAATTAAAAATTTTTAATGACTGAGTGAAGGATGTGATCACTGGGCAAATACCCCTAAAGTTTTCCAATCTTGAAAGCTTAATTAATGATTCAATTGTTTAAAAATGATTAATAAATCATTGATTGAAATAACCCTTTATTGCTATTGAATGGTGTGATAATGAAAACCCAACAACAAATGGCACAAAACTAATCGCCGCTTATTTGCAGCGAAAGTTGTCAATTACAAGCGATTAGTGGCAATGAAATTGTCTGTTGCGATGAAAAGTATTGTCAAAAGCGAATCAATTATAACACTATAGTTGTCTCTCAAGGAAACCCAGCAAACCATTTGTCACAAAAGTTTTTCAATACTTTTCGATCACTTTTATTGTTCACATTATTTCCAATCGAAGGCCAAACCTGTTGTCAATTCTCGCCATTAATTAGTGTCTTTGAATTAATGATCATTTGGACGTTTAAAATGTGATTAAAAATAGTAATTTTAGGGAAACTTAAAGCTATTTTTAATGTTCCGGTCTTGAAATAGAAAATAAAACACTTTTTTAAGTGAACTTTATTTTTATATCAAAAGACATCTTCTTTTACTATAAGATTCTTTGCATAAAGTATTGTACAATATTTGCAAATACTTTTATTTTTGGCGATTATGTTCATACTTTCCTCAATTGTTTGGCTCATATGATGTAATTTTATTATAATTAGTAAATAGTAGAAAATTTTGCGTCACTTAAGCCATTGTTTGTTTGCCATTGAATTGTTTCAATTAAATCCAGTGAAACTTAAAAACAGATTATTACAGTTTAAATAATCAGTAAACGTGGCATACAGTAGGTGCTTAATTTTAAATTATTTTCTAATTCACTTTATTATTTAATTCTCTGCTACTGTACTAAATTCTATAATTTACCATGTTATAGTAATTTAGATAATTTCCAATAAATTGATATAAAATTTATACATTGTATTGCTATTATATTAATTTATTAAATTCTATATAATATTTACGAAATAATTGTTTGTATAAAATTTACAAGAGCACATGACTAAATCATTTCAAGCGTTTCTCATAATATTTATGTTAAAAGTGCTGAAAATATAATATGGTGCCAGAAAAACTCAAAATAACTTTAAACTGATTGCTCTTTAGATAAGAATAATTATGTAATCATAAATTTATAATTTATATGTCTTAACACTTTACTTATTGAAATAAAAAATACAAATGTACTGAATATTCTGTGCATCTATTAATAATGTAGTCAATAATTATAGTAATTATTCTATTTTAATTCAATGTATACATTAAGCCAGAATGCATTGCTTGCTAATAATTACTCTTTAGTACTATTTTGAAAAGTTTAAACAATAAATTATGGGAAACTTTCTAAGGTTTAGGCAAAACCATATATTACAGTACATATCAAAATGTAAACTACTGTATTTTTTAATAACATTTTAGTGCAAGTTACTAATATTCATTTGTACGGTAATTGTAACTCAATATATTTTCTAAATTAGTAATGTGTCGACTGAATTGAATTGAATTGATTTTACAATATGTGAACAATAAAATCAGACACAGAATTCATAAATCAATTTAATTATTTGTGAATGAATTAAATTCCAGTAAAGCATACAATAAGCGCTACATTTCACTTATAGTCGATATCCTGTTTAATCACAAAATATTCAATAATTGAATTAAATACAGAGTGTTAAAGCCTTGGCTTTTGTTTTAAGCTAAACTAATAATTGTCAGTAAATACTAATAAAATATACAAAATGTTTTGTTGTAACAAATGATCCGAAAAAAATAATTTTAACAGGAATTTAATTGTTTGGACACTATATCGAGACGCGGATATTAAGCATCACTCGTACAGTAACTGTAATGTCCCTGAAGTAGCTCTCTATCAACATTTGTTCATAAATTAGAAAACCCCGACTTATCATATCATATATGATAGCTATTTATAATTGAAAGTATAATTTGACGAACTAATAGTACACTAATAGTACAGTACGAGTACTTAAGTACTTACGACAGTATTCTGTATTTCCAAACATAAGTTTAAATTATTAAATAGTAAATGAAGTCGTGATCAACACATTTATCTCAACACTTTTTCAATTGATTTTTTCCAAATTTTATTTTATTTGTTCGCAAACAATGAGTAACTTTACATTTATAGTACAGTAATCAATGAAAATATATTTATTAAAAGTACAAAAATTCTTTTTGAGAATACATTGTCGCCAAACCAATTATGAGTGATTTATAATATTGTACTAACTTTACAAAGAAATTACACAAATCTTATAAAATTGAATGAAATATTGTTGATTGATTGCATGTCAATACATTTAATTTATTAAATTTAAGTGATATAAATGCACATCATTTTGGTGACATTGAAATACAATTTGTGTAAAATATATGCAAATTCATTAAATGAATCATAACGAAAGGGTTGGTTAAAAGGGGGATACAATAAGTTATAAGTTTTAGATATAGAATTTGTATAGGAATTAACCCAAAATTATAAAGCAATTGAATACTTAAGATTTGAATTTGAGATTATTTGAAATTTATCTCAAATCACATGAAATATAAAGTTTGGAGATCTGCATGAAATGAATATACGGTAGGATTGAAAGTTTCAATTTGAAAGTCATTCTACCTTATAATACACTACCTGTCCATTAGGAATATTATATTTGTATCAAACAGTACAATGTAGACTACAGTATAATATTACATTTGGGAGCACTGTTACCAAACACCGCATAAATAGCCCTCCCACTCACTCCTACTCTATTCTGTTGTATTGTTTCCACTTTTTAAGCAATTGTTTTCAAATTAAATTCTCAAACTTTATTCAAAACTTCTATGAGATTGAGAATCGACTCATTATATTGTGTCGATAAAGCAGTTTTGAGTCACAAATTATGTAAAACATGTCATTTTCAATGATTTCATTGATATGCTATTGAATTACAGATAATTTGCAAATCAAGTGATCAATGACTATATGAATAGATTTGATGATAAAGTAATTCCCAATTGAATCCAAATGTCATATCAAGTGCACAGCCGTCACAACACTGGCTCTGAAACCTGTATTAAGTAATGTCTGATTGCATAACACATTGAAAGGCATTATTGTATGCATTGTATGGCTTCGCAGACAAATATTGAAAGCAAACAACACTTGCATTGAGTCGTCATATCATATGAATTGTGGTTATGTTTAGCAGATAATTGTCACCTGAAGGCACATCCAATTGGTCACAATGACGGTGATCGGTCTGTCGAACCAACTCATAGTTCCGATCACTCTGTGGGGCTCACAATCACCCACTCATTGCATCTCTTGTGTGCTGCTGACCAACGACTACAAGACAGTAGTGACCGGTTGTAATGACGGACAGATCTGCCTCTGGGACTGCCATCCATCCACTCTTTCCGTACGTATCATCACTGTCTCACAGCCCGAATCACATGTGTTGTGTGTTTAGTTGACACCAAGAAGTCTACTCTTTGGTCACTCGTCACCAGTGCTATGTCTGGCCAACGGAAAGGAAACCAATGATAACTCACTGCTCGTCAGCTCTTCAGAGGCCGGGTATGACCTCATTGTCACCATTTGTGTCAATACATGACTCTTATATATCTCTATTGACAGAGAGATGTCTTTATGGGACTTAAGTGATGGTCGGTGTCTGGAGAGCGTCAAAATGCAATGCGTCCACACAAACATCCAGGTCTTACATCCATTCCCTCCCCTTCCAGACGTTTCATATGATTAATGATTGTCTGCAATGAATAGACCTATGAGTTGGCCGCTCACGAAGACGTGCGACTCTTTTGCAATGGATATTACGCGGAGATACTGATCATGGATGTGACCACTCTTGAAGTGCTCTACACTCTCACCTCCAAAGTGAATCCCGATTGGATCAGTGCTATGCATGTGTTACGACCCGTTAAACGCCAAGGTTTGGGCTTTTATTGATGAGCATTGGATGGAATGAAGAGATTTATTGGAAACTATATTCTTAGCAGAGGATGTAGTGATTGGTCTATCGATTGCCGGAGTGGTTAAGGTGTGGACATTGACCGGACATGAAGTGCGGTCATCGGAACCCATATATGAGAACGAATCCAAACCTATTCGATGTCTGAATGCAATCCGTATGACGTGTTGTATATACAACCAGAGGACAGTTCTGGTGGTTTGCACGAAATACTGGCAGGTATTGTCTCCTACTACCTGTCCCCTACTCCCTTGTCTCCTACTATCACCCAATTCTTGCATAACACGTGTGTCTGTATTGAGGTCTACGACGCCGGAGACTTCTCGCTGTTGTGTTCAGTGGACAGCCGTAGAGGCGAGCGCTGGTCTGGCGGTGACTTCTTATCTGCTGATCGCATAATCGTATGGAGCGATACAGGGAAGGGATATCTTTACAAACTTCCCGTCAAGTAAGGCATCCATTATTACATATATTTTCATGTTTTATGCAATTCTTAAATTCAATCGAATATAATAATCAAATATTTGATCAAATGAATGAGTATTTGCTATAATAATGAGTCGATCACACAATCGTTGAATAACATAAAAATATAAACATTTTTTCAATTTCTTAATAGCAAGCTAAAAGGAAAGGCTATTAGGTTTGTAGGCTTTAAGACATTTATTGTCTGTGACCATTGAGTTATGATTGAATTTATATTTTCCAATTACTTTAGTTTTTATTTGATTTTAAATGTGGATTCCTTTTCATGCATGATATGTGTTACTGTAAAAAGATATTAAAAATTTTAAAAATGATTGTTTGTTTCGTTTATTAGTTGCATTCCAGAGAATAAAGAATTCCATTCCCCAGAGTCTGATCAGCCATTCCTCTACTGTATTCTTGTCATTCCTGACGACGAGGTATTCATGACTGGATGAGAGTCCCGAGAATCCCACAAATTAATGCTAACTTTCATTAAAAACAGCGTCTCTTATGTCCGCCGGCAATGAATTTCTATTTATTGAGTCGAAACATAAATCAAGTTGAAGTGAATCCTAATATTCAAAAGCTATTAATAAGAGGCGATTCATATGGAAAAGTTGTCATTTGGTCCATTCCTGACGTCTCCAACAGAGATCTCTCAGCCGTACGACAAGAATCAATAGAAACTCCGCCACAAATGGCACCGACTGTTATACAATCATTAGAAAAGGCCTGGAAATTAATGAAACCCTCGCCCTGTGGTATATTGGATCAATTGGTCAGTCAGTCATTGGCTTTGTTTTAACGAATATGATTAACGAAAGTTTTCTCATATCTATAGATCCACACATCAGACGACTCTCCCTATTATAAACTGACGGCTTCTGTGTATTTGCCACTTCAGGGGCGACTCGTTTGCGGTCGAGAAGACGGCAGTATTATAATAGTATCCGCGAGTCAGACAATTATGTTGCAGTTCTTAGTGGGCAAGCACTTGGCGTACGATGACTGGCCCCACCATCAGATTCTAGTCGGACACTCAGGACGTGTTAATTGTTTACTATATCCCCATCACATCAACAACCGCTACGATATCGCGCACCTGGTGTCGGGTGGGGTTGACTTCTCTGTGTGTTTGTGGGATCTATACAGCGGTACTCTACTGCACCGGTTCTCTGTTCACGCGGGAGAGATCAGCCAATTGTTCGCACCGCCCAAGGATTGCAATGTAAGTCATATTCATATACAAACGATTCCCATATTTATAGTAATTGTAATGAATAATGACGGCTTAGCCACGAGTATTGCAATGCATTTGTTCGGTGGCCAGCGATCACTCGGTGGCCCTCATAAGCCTTAAGGAGCGTAAGTGTATAATGCTTGCCAGTCGTCATCTCTTCCCAATCCATACAATCAAATGGCGTCCACTCGACGACTTCATGATCGTTGGGTGTGTTGACGGGTCGGTGTATGTCTGGCAGATGGAAACGGGTCACTTGGATCGCGTTCTGCACGGAATCATTGCCGAAGAAATCCTCAGTGCGTGCGATGAGAATATAACCACTGCTGGCGATCGGCTCACAAATCCAGCCATTCATCTGTTTAGAGGTTTAAGACATCGAAACCTCGCAGCCATACGACACGCCGCGGTCAGAGGTCTCCATAATATAAGCTCTCATTTAGAGAAACAAAAGCACGATGTGATCGATATGTCCATTCGGTCGCGTTCTCATCCCCTTATGATTCAGGGCTTACGAACCAACCCTAAAGATCAGGACAGCCATGTCTTGTTTTTTGATGTCGAGGCTCTTATAGGTATTCATTTGTTGATCCATTTATAAACATAAATATAAATTAATTTATGTATTCATCTCTCAGTCCAACTCATGAGTGAAGAATATTCTGCTCTCACACCGAATACACTGGAGGCCCAGGGGTTGACAAATACTAATGAATATCAAAAGTATTACAATCTCTCGTGTTCTCCAGAAACGCAACACAAACTGACAGGTATTTTGATATTAAATATTGATATAAAAAATATTGTACTTAACGACAAGTTTATGTGATTTTGTATTAAGGATTTCTGAATAAAGTGAAAGATTCGGCAGAAAATGCCGCACAAAAAATACAGGCGAAGGCCGACAGCATTGGATTCAAGAATGTTTCGGGAGATATCACTGTAGGCTTCTATAGAAAGGGATCGACCGCTTCATCCGATTCCGCGGCCACCACTCCTCCCACAACTGGTGCTAAAAAACCAGCAAAACTGATGGTTGGAGAGACTAACCTAACGATGGATATCACCAGACTTTTGCTCTCATTATTGCACGCCTGGGGTCTTGACTCAGATCTGGACAAAGTTTGTGAATCCAAGTTAGGTCTTCTCCGACCTCTACGACCCATTTGTTTCGGAATGATCTCAAGAGGCGGTCACATGTCTCTCATTTTGCCCACTTATGTGCACAAATTGGACGCCTCTTCAGTCGCACAAAACCCCACAAACACTGAGCAGAAGATGCCTTTGACTAAAGCCGACTCACGACACGTCAAAATAAGCTCTTATTTACCGCCAGAACTGGTGGCTGAAGAAGAAAAGGCGCGCCGTTTCTCATCCAGACTTCATTGGGAACTGTCGACTGCTATCACAACTAACCATCTCTTGTCTATCATATCGTTGGCCAACACTTTAATGTCAATGAGTTCCGCAACTTTCATACCAGAGAGTGAACGCAAACGACGATTGAATCGAAAGGCGAGTCGAACAGACAGTACGGGAAAGACAGAGACCGATGGGACGGCAGAAGCCGAACACTTCGCTAATCAACAGCAACAGATCAAACAGGGATGGAGTCTATTGGCGGCACTTCATTGCGTCCTTTTGCCTGATTTGGTCAAATCAACTCTTTTCCAAAAACCTTTGGTTGAGATACTCGCGCGTCGGTGGCAGGACAGGTGTCTGGAGGTGAGGGAAGCCGCACAGGCATTGCTTTTGGCTGAACTTAGGAGAGCGGGCAGTAAAGGCAGGAAACAGATTGTGGACGACTGGGGCCCGTATTTGCCTAACTATTCCGATCAAATACATACCGCTCATCACACCGAACATCATTCCAAGCCTCACAGTCAGCCCCATTCCATAGCCTCGAGTCCCTCTCCAAGTCCTGTGCCCTCAGACTCGAGTCAAAACATTTACAAACACTCAGATCTGAGAGCACACGACGACAACTTGTCCGATGAGGACGACGACCCCGACGAGCACTCGGTTGGTATGGAAAACGGGTCGACCACTGGTGCGGACGATACCACTTCTCGCGCGTCTTCGTACACAACCGAAGGGCGCAGAAAACAGGCGACGGCTATAGTGTTGTTGGGAGTCATTGGCTCTGAATATGGCCACGAAGTGGAACAAAGCAAACGAAAGCCTAACGACGAGTCGCGACGAAAAAGTATTATTGAAGGCTTCGGTCCCGGAAACTACACGTTAGCCCGAAATACTAGCAAAGCGTTGGCGTATCTCCTATTGAGTCCGCCATCGTCTTCACTACCACTCCATACATCTCTACGAAGAGCTGCCATCGATCTGATCGGTCGTGGATTCACTGTATGGGAGCCTTATTTAGATGTTTCCAAAATACTATTGGGTTTACTGGAGTTGTGTTGTGAATCTGAAAACCTGGTGCCCAGTATGTCATTTGGCTTACCCCTCACGCCGGCAGCTGACTCGTGTCGAACGGCCAGACACGCCATTTCCCTTATAGCTACTGCTCGACCCCCAGGTATGTCACTCTACTTCTTGTATTGTTTGAACTGATGTCTTGTATTGTCACTCAACTGATGTATTGTTTGAATCAATTGATAGCATTTATCACAACATTGGCCAAAGAGGTGGCGCGATATAATACACTCCAACAAAACGCTCAGTCCTTGAATATAGCGTTACATCAGACGGTGTTATGTCGCGGAAGGCCTGAGATATTGCGAAATATGGAAATACTGATCGATAAAATGCAAACCGATGTCTCGGATCTCATAATAGAAGCGATGGATATAATAATCCATTCTTTGGATCACAATATGCTTAAGACTAAAGGATTGGGAGAAGTGTTTCCTACAGTTTGTCGCTTTCAAAACGTCACTTTCTGTACATCCACTCGTCGTATAGCTGTCGGCGCCAAAAACGGCAATTTAGCCATTTATGAGTTGAGAGCACCCAAATCACAGGTCATTCCCGCCCATACGGCTGCCATCACCTGCTGCTCCTTCTCACCCGATGGCAAACATTTGGTCTCATATTCGTCGGGAGAGAATAAAGTGTCGTTTTGGTCGACAGCCGTCGGACTGTTTGGTTTGGGCAACGCTCAGACCCGATGCGTCAAGACATACAGCTCTCCCCCAATGCCCGAACACGTCAGAGCCACCGGACCCCTCAAAATGGCGAGATTCGTGTGGGTCTCCAATAAGTCAGTTATTCTGATGTTTGCCGACGGAAACGAGTTTCGGTTTAATGTCTAAGTTATTGCGGTTATAATACTGTACTACTGTTTGTATTAAGTTATCTATCTATACAATTCTATATACAGTAATATCTATACAACTAAACTGGTTGTCGACTTTTAGTCATTTATTTATTAATTTAAATATATTTCGTGAATTTTGTGATCACTTCATATCTTTAGTAACGATTAGATCTTATAATATATATATACAGTAATATCTATACAACTAAACTGGTTGTCGACTTTTAGTCATTTATTTATTAATTTAAATATATTTCGTGAATTTTGTGATCACTCCATATCTTTAGTAACGATTAGATCTTATAATATATTATTTGTTAAAATTGAGAACTATTTGAACTGAAAATATAAATTTTATTGAATTTTTTTAAAGAATTATATTACAGTAACTTATATACATATTCTAATCAAGAATCGATTGACTCATTTGTGATCTTTTCCGACGGCTTCGACTATATTATCGAAACCTTTTGATCTATATTACAGTATATTATTGTAAATTATATATTAATAAATATTAATTTATTGTTCATTAAATCTATTCTATAAATACCTCACAATGTCTGCCAATTCTCGTTTAATTTTGGTGACAACTTGTGGTCCCTTTTACGGGAATACAAACTCATTAATTCACGCAAACCATTCAATAATGAATCCATTTATACCTCATACGTGAGCGCAGTATAGATCTGAATGAGTGAAGCGCCGGCACTAATCTTGTCATAAGCATCACTTCCGGTGAATACACCGCCGACGCCAATGATAGGAACCCTACCGTTAGTTAACTGATATACTCTTCCTATCATTTCCGTTGATTTATCTCTTAATGGAAGACCACTTAAGCCTCCCGTCTCGGCCACCAATTGATCATTACTTTTAAGAACGACAGGCCTTTCGACTGTAGTATTGGAGACAATAAGGCCATCGATTCCTCGTTTCGATTTGTTTGTCGCGAATTTGTTGACCATTTCTATAATGTCTCGCAATTGAGTGTCGTTGAGGTCGGGCGCGATCTTTATAAGCAATGGCTTTTCAATGTTCATATCGACCCTCACTTTCAACACTCTCTCAATAAGTCCTCTCAATTGGCTTTTGTTCTGCAAATCTCGAAGATGTGATGTGTTTGGAGACGATATGTTCAGAACTAAGTAATCAATTGCTTTGCAGTCACAGAACTTAACCATTCCTTTCACATAATCCTCGACCATATCTTCGGTGCTCTTATTTTTGCCCAAATTTAGACCAATTATTACTTTCTTACCACTTCGTGACAATTGCTTCATATTCCTCTCAAGGCTCTCATGACCGGCGCTATTGAATCCATACCTATTAATAATGGCTTTGTCGGCCATTAGCCTAAAGACCCTGGGCCTATCGTTTCCCGGTTGGGGTTCAGGTGTGCACTGGGAGGGCATATGTCATATATTATCTCAATACAGTTATGCAAACTTTTATAGACAACACTTACGGAACCGATTTCAATGAAACCAAAGCCGAGTTTAGATAAGCCTTCGACGGCCTGTCCGTCTTTGTCGAAACCGGCGGCCAAACCAATCGGGTTCTTGAACTCCAGTCCCCATAAACTGGTTTTCTTTGGGTTTTATTTTAACAAAACTTTATAACAATTTAAAGACAACTTAAATACTTTTCATACAAGTATTGGCAATAGAGAGGAATCGTCCTGAAGTTTGGGCACAAATCCATATTTGGCTGCTTTTATGGCCAGACTGTGAGCGGTCTCCGCATCGGTCAGGCTGTGGATGACTGGCATCACTACAGTCCTATAGAACCTGTCGTTCCCTTTGTATGCATTGATTCCTGGGTTTCACATGCAATGCAAACTTCATGACAAACTCAGACACAACTTGAATGTGATTATGATATACCGGCAAAAGTAAGGCCACCCCCCAAACCAATCACCACTAATGACCGCAACTTATTCTGCAAACCATTCATACAATTTAAGACATTAAACATTCAATCAAAATGTTAAACAATTACTGTCTTCACCTGAGCTTTCATTTTATAAAAACAAATTGAGCGCTAATTATTTCACTTTTTATGCCAATTATGATAATAATGAGTGAAATTAGTCTTAAATCAATTGACAACTATCTATACATTGAGTTCAATGCATACTATAGTGTGAAACGATTCCTATGAATGCAATCGAGATATGAAACTAAAGTTTTGATTGCTTTTCGAGACAATAATGCTTTGAAAGCAATCAGTGATTGAAGTGTTTTCATGTGAATCACAGCTGACTCTCACAGACACTGACTCTCACTCTCTGACTGTTTGTTTGTAAACACAGTAACAGTCGTCGTCTTTGACTGCAATGACTGACGTCTTGTTGACAATCATAGACTCATTTGATCGCATGTTTTGTCCACATTTTCCTCGTTTACTCTTTTACTCACATTTATCCACAAATTTGTGTCCAAATAATCACCACTTAATAGACAATACTCGGGATCTGAAGTCAAATGTCATTGTTTTCAATATTTGTGAACCGAAGACATAGAAACCAACTGAAAATCCGACGAAATATCCATCACTTGCGGGAAATAGCGGTTCAATCAGTGATGGAAGGCGTGTCCATCACATCCCTGAGCGGACCAATTCAGGTGACACTCATAAGCGGTGTGTTTGTCTTGTTTTGGTTCGTGTATTCGTTGGTCAAACACATCCGCCAGCGATCGCCGATGACTCCCCTCTGGAGTGATGGCAGTCATGCGTGCCATCGATGGAAACTGATAGCCATTATCACTCATGAGGCCTATTGTAATGTCTGTGAATCACTGATAGTGAACGGCATGTTCTGCGAGTGTTGTGGTACTTGTGCTGACTTCGGCTGCCATAAGAAGGCAGACAATCAACTCGTCTGCAAAACGCTCTCCATTTCAAAGACTGAGTCTCGACTCCAGAAGAAGCAATTGTCTCACCTCTGGATTCGCGGAAATCTGGCGACACATTCGGTGTGTGATGTGTGTAATGAAGAGTGCGATGAGGAGTCAGCTCTGGTCGACTGGAAGTGCTGTTGGTGTCAGCGATGTGTTCACCAGAACTGTATGACTCCAGAAGCGAAGACCGAAGACTGCGATTTCGGCAAATGGAGGACTTGTATTGTTCCGCCATTTTGTATCACCCATAAGAAGGTTTGGTCGAAAGGGAGGCGAAAGTTTGTGGTCGACAGCGTCGGTAACTTCGAGGACGAGCCCAATTGGAAGCCTTTGATTGTGATCACAAACCGAAAGAGTGGTAACAACGAAGGCGACCAAATTCTAACGATCTTCAGGACGATTCTCAACCCATTGCAAGTGATCGACATCAGCGAGACTTCCTTAGAGTCGGGTCTGGAATGGTGTCAACTGTTATCGAAATCCTTCAAAGAGATTAGCGTCAGAATACTGGTGGCCGCCGGAGACGGAACTGTTGGATGGGTTTTGGACACCATTTTGAAACTCAAGTTAAACCCAATGCCTTTGGTTGGTATCATTCCGTTGGGCACCGGCAACGACTTGTCCCGTATTCTCGGTTGGGGTCAGAGCTTCTCATTTGAGACCTCAATAGATCACGTGATGAATAAGATCCTAACGGCGCGAGCGGTAGAGTTGGACCGTTGGAATGTCCGCCTCTCGGCCAACAGGAGTCTCGGAATTCCTTTGCCATCCAAACAGTATTTAATGAATAACTACTTCGGAGTGGGTGTCGACGCGTTGGTGGCCCTTAAGTTTCATGAGACGCGAAAGTCACGCATTTATAACTATCTCTTCACGTAATCACAGTTTCATATTTCATTCAATTCTATGTGAGCATTGCTTATGATTTAATTACCGGTCAATCATTTTATCGCTTATAGGAACAGAATATTCAATAAGTTCTTGTACTTGAGTTACGGAACTAAGGATTTGTTGGAAAGAAAGTGTAAGAATTTGAACGAAAAGATCATTTTGGAAATGGATGGCCAACAGGTGGAATTACCCGAATTAGAGTCCATTATTGTGCTCAATATCTCGAGTTGGGGCGGAGGGGTCGACATTTGGGGTTTGGGTGGCGGTGCGCCCAAGCAGTATATCAACGATAAGAAGTTGGAAGTGTTGGCGCACATGAGTTGGAAGGTGTAGCCTGTCGAGTACTAGCCTGACAGTCTTGGCGATGCGAAACCAGTCCGTTTCCTCCATTCCCAATGTGATGACCTTGCCGACGGGTAAGTTCACCTGCCGCTTGGATGGCTTCAGAACCCGACTACAGTTAGTCTTAACTGGAATTCTTGCGCCAAAATGCTTACCACAAGATCTGAATTATTATGAGTCGTTAGTTCGTTGTGTGACTCTGTCTTCAGTCTGTGATAAAAATATTTTTCACATAAAATGTCAATTCATTTTGAAATTCATTACATTTTATGCAAATCCTAAGAATTTGCAGTCTTATGTATTTTATGAAAGTTCAATGAATTATATTTCCATTTCTTATAACTAAAAATTCAGTTATAAGTACTCTTAAGATTCATTTTACTGTTACTGGAAATGTATTTTATCATAATATCTATACCGTATAACATTTGCCATAATTGTTTGATTTTGACATAATTTAAGTATTTTCTTGCCATTCATATCGTTATGTCTCCCATTTATGAATAATTTTTGAATGCATTTACTTTTAATTTCTATTTAATACCGATGATTTTATATAATTTTATTTTTAAAGCTTATGCGATAGCAATGAACGTTAAATATTTAACATTACTGTACATTATATTACATTAAATTAAAATGAAATGTCTGTAAATTAAAAATATTTATGCATTAAATAAATTTCAATTAAATTAGTTGTCATTTGAATCGGAAAGTTCCGATTCCTTAAGTATTTGGTCTTTGTTTGAGATTTTCGTGATTTGCGGTCCAATGCGGGTCCAAATGAAACCGCTCTCCGGTCTGGACAGCAGTGTTGGATACGGAGAATACCTGTCCTTATAATAATCGGACGGCGCGTGACACACAAAGTTCATACACTCCAGTTTGCGGGGTATGTCCTCCTCTGGTCCCAAGAAGTAGGTGCACGGCTCGAACACGTCCTCACGACTGGCCTCCGATGGCAACAGCCATGTGATGACTGCACTCTTCTCGCAGTACTGGTCCTGAAGGAAGCCTCGGATTTGCGCAAAATATGTGCCGCCATTCACGTCCTCCACCGACACAATGTCTCCGATCTGGTAGTACTGACCCCTGAAGAACATGTGGTTAGACGTGACCGGAGTGGCGAAAGATGACGGCCCACGGACTACCTGTGCGTTCATTATAATCAATGCATTTATGATGACATTTGGCAACACATGGCAAGTCCATTAGTTACAGTTACAGAATGTGTAGAGAACTTCTGTTAGGAGGCTGAGAACGGAAATTAACATAAGTTAAACAACAACTTTCACCAGGAGTGAAAGGGAGACAAGGCGTGTGAGAAGGACTACCCAACCATTGGCTGTTTAGCCGCTAATTATCACCGCAACAGACAGTTAACGAATCGTGTCATCTAAACCAAGCGTTACTTACCATTAGTTTTGTCACTTTTGCTGTTAATGTCCACATTCTGACTGTCAGTATCTGCTTCGGGAGCCGTTATCACGCTATTCACGCTCTGGCTGTCATTGGATTCAGTGAACAGAAACAACAACGTTAGCAACGTAAATTATGTAGGTAGCGATGAGAACCTGGTGTAGACGCTGAGTAAACATGGTGTTTATGATGTTTGCCCAACATTAGGGTTTCCGTAACAGAAGTTGGTGAAGTTCACCACTTCTTCACACCTTCTCTTCAATTGACTTCACTTTCACACAAACCTCTCAAACAATTCAATACAAAAGCACTCAAAAGTTGCACATTAATTATGTCTTCAATTCAATGAACTTTAAATTAATTAAACTTATATTTTATTCAATAAGGTTTCAAACAATCATTTAATGATCAATGAATTAGTCGTGAAATTATTAAATCTTTAAATTATTCATTCAAAAAGTGTTGATTTGAAAGAAAATGCCAATTAGGGGTCAAATGTGTGTCCGACGAGTGTTTGGCACGTATTTGGTGTGAAAGTTGTGCCAAAGTTTTGGCGCTTTTTTGCCAATTGATTGACAAAAGAGTGATTCATTTGAAGAGATCTTTAATTTTTAAAAGGATTTCATTTGACGTGAAATTAAGTCTTGATTTGCATTTGTTAACAGACGGTTAACTAACTAACGGTGTCTTTACCTACAAAGCCTGTTGGCCAACTTGGTTTCGGTTGCTTAGTTTCTGCTGAACAGTCTCTTCACAGTCTTTGACAAGCCGCTAAAGGAGTTACTATTCAAAGAGCAAACCTCCGAAACGGATGGACACAAGTATTTGACGGAAGCCCTGGAACTGATCAAACCGGAGAGGAATACGCTGTTCGTGTCGTTCAAGGAGCTCACCAATTGGGACCAGGAATTGGCCATCGATGTGACCAACAATTACTACCGATTTTACCCCTATTTGTGTCGATCGGTGTCCACTCTTATCAACGATGAGAAGCATAAGTCCAACGAAGACTTGGATGACTTGACGCTCAATGTGATCAAGAATAAGGACTTTTACGTCGGTTTCTATGACTTCGCCGACCGAACAAAACTTCGCGAATTGAGAGCAACGAAGATCTCATCGCTGGTGAAGATCGTCGGACAAGTGGTTCGCACGCATTCAGTACATCCGGAGCTCATCTCCGGTACGTTTGAGTGCTTCGATTGCGGCACAGAAGTGGCGAACGTTGAGCAGCAGTTTAAGTACACTTTGCCCACCATTTGCCGCAACACTGTCTGTTCCAATAGATCCAAATTCAGACTTCTTCTCCATAAGTCACGATTCGTTGACTTCCAAAAGGTTCGCATCCAAGAACTCCAGGCAGACCTTCCCAGGGGTTGTATCCCAAGAAGTCTTGATATTGTCATCAGAGGTGGAGATCGCGTGGAATGCGTTCAACCGGGAGATAGGGCTGACTTCGTGGGCTGTCTTATAGTAGTTCCAGATGTGGCGCAACTGATTGCTGGCAGCGGCGGACTCGTGAGGACAGAGACCGGCGCGGGAGGAGATGGAGGTCTGAGAGGACTGAAAGCTTTAGGAGTACGCGAAATGTCACATAAGATGGCATTCCTCGCGAGTTCTTGCATTCTGGAGGGCAATGAAGTGCCCGTTCAGTTGGAGGACAGGAATGCGGACACCAATAGCGGCGCAAAAGACTTCTCAATGTTTAAAGAGGAAGAGATCATAAGAATCGAGAAAATGACAAAAGACAAGAACCTCTACGAGAATATAACCAAAAGTCTTTTTCCGTCCATTTTTGGCAACGAAGACATCAAAAGAGGAGTTGTTTTGCAACTCTTCGGCGGAATTCCGAAGACGACAATAGAAGGAACTCATTTGCGCGGAGACATCAATGTCTGTATTGTTGGCGACCCGTCCACTGCCAAGAGTCAGTTCTTGAAGATTATCGCCGACTTCGCGCCCATTCGTGCCATATATACGTCGGGTAAGGCGTCGACGGCGGCCGGTCTGACGGCAGCGGTGGTGAGAGACGAAGACGGAGGGTTTGTCATCGAAGCCGGCGCTCTAATGCTCGCCGATCAGGGAATCTGTTGTATCGATGAGTTCGACAAAATGGATATCAGGGATCAGATCGCCATTCACGAGGCTATGGAGCAGCAGACCATTAGTATCACAAAAGCCGGAGTAAAGGCCACTCTTAACGCGCGCACATCCATCCTGGCGGCGGCCAACCCTATCGGTGGCACTTATGACAGAAGCAAATCTCTGCGAAACAATCTGTCGTTCTCTCTGCCAATTATGTCCAGATTTGACTTATTCTTCATACTTCTCGACGAATGCAACGAAACCACTGACTATGCGATCGCCGAACGAATCATTGATATGCACTCCGGAAATATGGACAACAACTCCGATGATGTGGTCTACTCTTTGGATGACTTAAAGAATTACATTCGATTCGCGCGACAATTCAAACCAAAGATGACTTTAGAGTCCGAGAAATATTTGGTCGAAACGTACAAACAGTTGCGTCTCTCGGGCTGTGATAACGGCGGAGGCTTTAAGAGCGGTAAGCAGTCGTGGAGGATCACTGTCCGACAGTTGGAGTCTTTGATCCGATTGTCCGAAGCCATGGCGCGAATGAATTGCAGTGATTTCGTCGAAACCAAACACATTAAGGAGGCGTCGCGTCTCCTCAATAAGTCGATCCTCAAGATAGACGAACCGGACGTGAATCTCGTGGACACTGAGGACACCCACGAAGACGAGGAGATGGAGGACATGAGCAAAGAGCCGGACTCTCAGAAAGACATGACCGACACAACGATGCCGTCGACTCTGAAAATCTCTTACGATGTCTACAAATCGATAACTAATATGTTTGTCATTCGTCTGCAAAGGGAAGAGTTGAAGATAGAGGAGGGAAACAGCGATGGTATGAAACGCTCGGAACTCATTGAATGGTATTTGAATGAGTGTCAGGACATCGAGACTGAAGCAGATTTGGTGCACAAGAAACTCGTTTGCGATCGAGTGGTCGACAAACTTATAAATACCGATCACATCCTTATAGCACTCCAAACACCCGAACCAATTGGCACTGAAACCGAGAAAGAGTCCACTCCTGACCCTATCCTTGTCGTACACCCGGACTATGTCTCCGAAGACTTGTAATCAATGTCTTAATTTCCAACACTTAGCACCACTTCCACCAGTCGTTGAGTTAATGTTTGTATTCACCAATCAATCAATTAGTTCACAATAATTGTATTTAAATTACTTTTTAAAAACTTTTTTTTATAATGAACGCCAAAAAAGCGCCCAAATATTTGAATATTCAAATGCTTGTATTGATCACACATTTGACTGTATGTTACATTTATTACTTCAATAAAACATGAATTAAATGAAATTAATAATAAAATGAGGTATAAAACTGAAGTTTGTTTAAAAGTTTAGAAGTTGTGTACATTCAGGAAGTTATGTTAGGTTTGCATTGGCTGTCAATTTGACATTTCATGTCAATTACAATACGAGAGTCATCTGTAGTTTACTTTTATTGTATAATTCATTCATTACGTCACTCATTGAGATTCACTGATACACGTGAGTCACGTGACCAGTGAATACTGTAATCCACTGCTAGGATGTGTGTGTTCCCAACATTTGGACAATATTGCCGCAATCACATGCAATGAATTTATGAATGCAAATTCACAACATTATCAAAACTTATTGAATTATATATAACTTATTGAATACTTGCAGACATTAGTTGTTTAGAAACAATAGTGGCATTGAGTGAAAGGGCATCCGATTGATCATAAAATATGTTTTTCATAATGTTTGGGGAATATGTTTGCGAGAGAGTGGGAGTGCGTTGAGAGTGAATGGGATTGAAGTGAACGTCAAATGCATTGAAAGCATTGAAAACATTTGAAGAAACAGAGATCCCATCAAAATGGCTGCGCTTTGAATGCATCGACTGATGGCGTGAGCGATGGTTTGCAACGATTTTTGTGCACAAATCCAGTGAATCCAACACTTCTTGCGACCAATCGGTGCTCAACGATGAGCTCGTCTTCGGGCCCGAGCGCTGGCACATCGGGTCCGTGCCATCCGACCATTCATTTGACCCTTTCTTTTACACTGACTTTCATTTGATTTCGCAAACAATTTGTTCATTGAATCCCATTTTAATTGTCTTCTCAATTGATTTACAGGCAAAAGAAGTCGAAGCAAAGTGTCCATCAGTTGCGAGGATGAGGGCAACGCTTCCAAACGTCTCAAACCCGGTAATTATGGCCACAATTGCAGTGATAATTGAATTGATTTGATGTTTCGGGCATTAATTGACTTCTTGTGGTGTCCGACAGACTGTTGTCGAGTGAATGACTTGAATGTTGTGAACAAATCCCGGATCTATAACTTCGGTTATCGCAAAAAACCGGCCGAACTCTTCCGCAAAGATCTCATCTCTGGTCAGTCATTACGTGACGAATGTCTTTGTTGTTGCAATCGTTGCATTTAATACATCCATCGCTACTCTTGGACCACATCTGCGACTCATTTGTACCACAAATACTACAAACGGGTTGTAATCCCAAAGGCATTGTCTTCAACCACTTCTTCACCACTTCTTCACACCTTCTCTTCAATTGACTTCACTTTTACACAAACCTCTCAAACAATTCAATACAAAAGCACTCAAAAGTTGGACATTAATTATGTCTTCAATGTAATGAACTTTAAATGAATTAAACTTATATTTTATTCAATAAGGTTTAAAACAATTATTTAATCATCAATGAATTAGTGAATTATTATAATTATTATTATATATTATAAATCAATGAATTATAAAATCTTTAAATTATTAATTCAAAAAGTGTTCATTTGAAAGCAAATGCCAATTAGGGGTCAAATGTGTGTCCGACGAGTGTTTGGGACGTATTTGGTGTGAAAGTTGTGCCAAAGTTTTGGCGCATTTTTGCCAATTGATTGACAAAAGAGTGATTCATTTGAAGAGATCTTTAATTTTTAAAAGGATTTCATTTGACGTGAAATTAAGTGTTGATTTGCATTTCAATTGTCTGCCAATTGATTGATTGCCACAGAAATGGATGTTTCGGACAACCGGTTGAACCAAAGCCAACGAATCAAAGACGACTTGTCAGAGAAGTGTCAGAAACTGTTCGGCGATTTCCTCAATGA